AATAACCAGCGATCTGTTTTAAGAAACTTTCTAGTAGTTGTAGATTCATGTTAAGGTCTTAGAACCACAAGAGTCAAGAATCCTTTATAGGTAGACTTCGTAATGGGCAAGCTTACCCAGAACTGGTTCCTGTGACTTCACATAATCAACATCAATGGCTTAAAAGGATATTTTTCTTAAATTTATTTAAAAAAATATGTTGCCCTGTTTGTTGTATCTTCAAGGTACAGATGCTTTGCAAATGTTAGGGGGAAAAGATGGCAGTTAATCACAGAATAGCTGCATTCTAACAGTGAAAACCATGCTATGTGTATTCTCTCACATGTGCATCCTAAATTAAGCAATACATGTGCATGCGCATATGAGTAAGACAGAGGAGGGGTTATTTGGGATGAAGAAGGAAACCAATGAAAGGGATAAGAAGTTAAGGACAATGAGAAAGTTTAGTATGTGTGGAGGGGAACAAATATGAACAGAGTACAGTTATCTCTCAAAATGAATTAAAATAAAACATGTCATGGAACTAACTGCAAGGGGTCTTGAGTATTAATTAGGAGTCCAGTAAAATGTTCTGGGAGAAATGACTCTGAAACTGAGAAACAGTGACTAGTAATCAATCTGGTGAGGGTCAGAGGAGGAAGGTGTTAATCTAGGCCATGTAAAGAAAAGCCCTACATGTTTTTAGGGAATTAGGAACAGATCGGCAGAGGTAGGTCACAGTTAATGGTGCATATCAAAGCTGCAGAAGCAGATCTCACACAGAGACCATGTGAGGACTTAGAAATCATATTAAAGACTGTGCACTTCCCACTGAGAGTAACGTAAAAACCACTGAAAACAAGAAGCCAACGTGTTCTGATCTTTTACTTTTGGATGCAATTTTCCTGTAAGGTGACTTTTCAGCAGCACACATAATAGGCATAACCACACAATGACTTATTTTCCAATTCATAATTGGCTAATAGCAATACGTGTTCAGAATAAGGCTGAGACAAGTATGGGAAAGAGGATATGGTGTCCACATGGGGGCCAAATGCCAGGAACAGAAAAGGAGGAAGGGCTCAGGGGTTGCTTCTTCTTCGTGGTTGTGACTAAAGCAAGATCTGCCTTTGCATGTCTGAAGCAACAGAACTACAAATTCACAGGCATCTGCTGCTTCTCTCACCATTATCTTCCTCCTTGTTCCGGGGAACATGGTGTGTGTGATCCATCAGGAAGCATCCTACAGTGCCGCTTGCAGAGATCTAACTTTCTTTTTTAGGCATCTGCTGTTTCTCTCAGAATGATTCTCAAATCTTTCTATCCTTGCTGGCCTTGAGGAGATTATTCCATGTTTACCAACCATTAATTTCTCTTGTTAATGTATCATATTATAATAGCCTGTGTGAATTATAGTGGTGTAGTTCTTTGATTTCTGGGTGCATAGTTCACTAATTCCTAGAAAATTATAATCAGCTCCAACTGTCCTGTGTTTCAGCAGCATGTCTATTATTATTATTATGAATGTGTATGTTTTGAGAGTTTTATACATGAGAAATCCATCTACATTACCCTTATCTATCCTCATATCTCCTCTGGTGACACCCTCTCAAAAATTGTGATCTCTTCTTTAAATATATATATACATATATATCTCACATAGGCACACATATGTTTGTGACCTATTGAGACCATTTAGTGATGCTATTTTGTGCATGTGTCCAGGGATGACTGGCTGATGGACAACTTACACCGGAATACCTTTGGAATCACAAATGGCTTGCATATAATGCAACTCATCACATCCTTCAAAAGGCAACTGGTCTCTAATGTTTCTTCCATTTATAAATACCAGTATTTCCCATTTCTAAGGTACCCAATGATGCTATGGTTTTCAACAACTTTGTTTTATGCTCTCACTAAACCTAACAAATAAGATGGCTCCTATTTACCTGTGGACTACCACCATGTCGTCTCACGGTAGAGTAATTCTGCCTACACAGCATGTCCTGTTAACAGTACATAACAGGTGACTTCTACGTGGCTCTTCTAGTCTATTTTATTTAGCAAAATCCTGTCTGCATTTATTTACAGTGGAATACTTTTACTCTTTAAAGGAATATCATGAAGATTCCCGTGGGGTATGAGGAAACCAGTGATGAACTGTTTCCTGGCTGAAGATAGACTAAAAGAATTTAAGAAGTTTGTGGAGGCCATTGGGAAGCTGAGATTTGTACATTTACCTATCCATAGTAATCTACCCATAGAAATTCAAAAAACGTCAGTTCACAATGTTGTTTCCTCAGTTCTGTCTGACCTAGTGATATCAACTTCAATGTCTGAAATTATATTCATGCATCTCTACCTACCTAAAGTTCACTTTGCCTGGCTTTAGTTCCAGCTCATCTAAAGGGATTTCTGCATCATCTTAGATCAGGACGATATTTTATTTTTCTTCAAAATCTTGCAGCATTTCTCTACTTACAATTAACCTTCTCTCTCTCTTAAACTTCTGATTTAATGTACATTTAATGTCTCTCACTTAGACTGCAGAGTAGCTAAAGGAAATATCAAGTCTCTGGCCACTTTTGGTCCTCAGCCATTATTCTATCCTGTCTGGAGCAGTTGCATAGTTCTTTGGTCTTATGGTTAGGTATAGAAATCTAAGTTAAGTAGATCTCTTATCATTGGAAGTGTCTCCCTAAAGAAGTACTTATAAAGCAGGAGAACCTGTCACTCTGGCTCTAGATGTAAAGATTACTTTCCCCGACTCCACTTGTCAGCAAATTAGCATCTATGAGTGTCATTTATTAAATAATATTAAAAGTTGATTTGGGAAATGTCAACGGGAGTTTTAAGTGAGACATTAGATAAGAAATAATGTAAGCTTTCAGCAAAGACACATAGTCTTCATATTCAAAGAGTTATATGAAGCATACATTGCTACATCAATCACATCATTCCACTTCTCTTGCATGGTGTGTGTGTGTGTGTTATAAGTGCATCACACATGCATGTATGAATGCATATATATACATGCATGTGTGGAGCCAGATGTCAGCACCTACTTTTTTCCCAGTTGTCCTCCAGATGATGATTATTATTATTAAAAAATAATTATTGCATGTTCTGGCTTTTACTTATTTATTTGTGTATGCATGTGTGTGTGCATGTGTGTGCTTGTGTGCACATGTGCACACATAGGTACATGCTTTCCATTGTGTGTCTTTGTGGGAATCAGAAGACAACTTAGGAGATTGGTTCTGCCATTCCATAATGTGCATCTTGGTTATTGAACTCAGGTTTTTAGATTTGGTGGCAAGCACACACACAAAACCATTTTTTGCTGGCCTTTTACCTTGTGTTTTGAGACTGGATCTCTAAATGTACCCAGAGCTCACTGATTTGTCCAGAATAGATGACCAGGGCTTCCTGGTCCCCTGTCTAAGGACCTTCCTAAGGGTCTTCCTGTCTGACTCTTCAGTGCTGAGACTATAAGTGCATGCTGCTACCCCTGGGTTTTTAAGTGTACTGTGGATCTGAATTCAGATCCTCATGCTTTTGCCACGGGAACTCTGTCCACTGAGCCATTTCCCTAGTCTCTACTTCTAAACCTTTAGCATTTCCTAGCATGTTTTAAGGCCTTGACAATTCTGGCCCGCCCCACTTCTTCTGAATCTCAACCATCCACTCCCTTCACTCACCACATCCTTGCTCTCGGTTCCCTGGATTGTCACACTCCTGCCTTGTTCCTCCCTCGTCTTGGTTGTCTGTGACCAACATGCTCTGCAGGACGGGCTTCCTGCTTCTTTCTTCCATCAACTCCTTTTTTTTTGACTTTGAATTGCCCTCTGATTTCTAATTTGAGCCCCTGTGTTATGTATCTCTAAAGCGTCCATTGTTGTCATACTGTGTAATAACTTTTGTGTCTGTGTTTTTCACCCAACTGTAAGTGCTACCACCTCAGAAACTATCAAAATACCATGCGCTGTAAATGTCCAATGCTCAGAATACAGCCCAGTGCACAGAACTATGGAACAAATAAACATTTTAGGAGTAATTGTCTGATACAGATTTGAGAGAATAAATTGCCCTGTCATTCACACTTAGACCTTAATTTTTCTTGTTCTGGCCTAAGTAAATATGGACTACATTTCTCTAGTTGATGTTTTACATGCATGAACACATTAGGTTTTATAAAATAATTTCATCTCATAAAAACAAAGCAAAATAAACAGTATGCAATGAACATATTTACTTGGTCTCAGAATTCAATTGAAATGATTTAGTAGCATATGAATTTTTAAAATTTGTCTTACTCATATCTACAATGATAGAAAGCCCACATTAACATTAAATTATCTTTCAAAAATCATATGCTTTGAAATTAAACAAACAAGCACACACAAACATAGAAAAATGGTCTTACTGCTAAGAAATGTCCACATGATTAAAAATGACCAGTGTGTGATTATTGGTAAAGTGAATGAGGCTCCCCTTCCATAGAGTATCTGGCAGCAAGCCAACAAGCTCAGGACCTGTGTCCCTGTCTTTCTGGTCTTGAGTTACCCTGCTGAATCAGACAATTAAAGAACAAATTGGAGCCAAGAGCATAAAAGATTTTTCCAATGCAAAAAGCTGAACTGTAAGAACATGTAGCTTGACTATCTTTGTCAGGCTGCAGAAAGTTGGGCTATATTTGAACTGAACATCTCCACACAGCCTCATTCCCACTGCCTTTGCCATTGTAGTTTTAGGTAAAATATGTAAAAACTCTTTTGCTTTGTCCATCTCTATTTCAGGATAAGTCATATATTAAAAGGGAGAGAAGAAATCCAATTCCATGTTTTTGCATCACGGGTTTTTCTCATAGTCTTCTGTTTTTAATGTTATCACCTTTCATCTAAACAAAGAGTACAAATAAATGTCATGCATTGAGGGAAGTTGGCAAACACATACTGAGCTCACATCCACAAGACCTATATTTGGGTGGCATCACATCTTTCTCTACAGCTACTGACCTGCACACTTCGAAATTATCAGAGCCATCATCATAGGCACCAGGAGACTTCTGGGTAGAGGTATTCAGCTGGAACCCTGCGACATCCACACACTTGTCCCCTTCTGCAGCTGCCAGGATTTCAGTATTACAATCAGTTTCCAAAAATCTTTTCTGAATTGTTTCTTTTTGCCTAAGTGTACGCAAGAGCTGAGGGTCTCTTTGGCAGTATTTGCCCTTATTCCCTGAGTGGCTCCCTGGGGGTGTCTTCTCCACCAAAGACCCCCTGGGCAGTGGATGGCTGCATTCTTGGTACCTTATGACTTTTCCTCTACAGCTGTTTAAAGAGTGACTCCCACCTTCTGTCAGCTCCTGGTGCTTTTCACCTTTGGATCCCAGATCAACAAGCTCCATTCTGTCAGGAGTGGAAGACCCAGCCAAGCTTCCACACAGCTTATTATTATTCCTCCTTCGCCGAGACAGTCTGAATTTAACCTGGGCTTGTCTTTTTGCCTGCACCCAGTGACTCTCATCTGTGGAAGATGAATCTGAAGACTCCATATCAAGTTCTCTCCACCTGGGACTTGAGATCTGGAGGCGAAAGTCATTTCTTCTCTCCTTTGCTTGCTCTTCTGCATGTTCATATCTCTGAGAGACCCTTCTCCTCCTCCTAGGATTCTGTCTTACTGGTTTCTTACCAGACTCCTTTCTAGCATGGCTCAGCACCATGACAGGGGTGCAGTGCTCAAATGCATCTTCTGACATGTCATGCAAGATGGAAGATCTAAACAAGGCAACAGGCAAAGGATAGGAAGTGGGAATGGAAAGGAAAGTCATGGGAAAACAAAGAGAGAAAGAGAGAGAATGATGAACATGACAGTATGACCAGAAGTTGGTAAAGATAAACTGAAGAAAAATTAAAGTGTGTGAGTGTATGGTTACATCCATGGACAACATAAAGCAGAAGCAGAAGCCATAGATTCGCAGGTCATGAAATAAAAGTTCAAAATACTGGTCTAAGAACTATTGAATAGAATAATTTGCCCAGGTCTTACCTGCAGATGTCCTGAGTAGATGGACAGACAGACAACCTTGACTGGCTCCTGGGAGCTGTCCCTGTCGTTGGGCTGCTTGCCTGGAGAAACAAGTTAGATAATTTGGCATCTTGATTAAGGTAATACATGGTTGATATCTTGCTTTTTTTCCACATATTTAAAAAATTACAACAAATGTGGCTGCTGGTCATGTTGCTCATAGTGAGGCTCATTGGATCTGGGAAGTCAGAGGGCTTGTTTTGCAAAAGTAAAACTCATTTAGGGAACTTGAAACAGCTGATGTGCTGCACTGCCCTGCTGTTGCTTCACTTGTGAGAGAGGAAGATGATTCCACAAGTTTCTATTCTATTTACTATGAGCACTGGAGCAGAATAGCTCAATTTGCCTGGGAAACAAATGAGTATTTAGAGGTCCCAATGAAGTAAAGGGCTACAAAGCCAAGATGTGAGAAGGGTTGTGATAGGTTGGTAAATGTTAATAATTAAATAGCCATCAGGTTGCTAGATAACACCTTGAGTTAGCGACAAGGCCCCATGAGACCGTATATTTGAGAACAGTTTGTAATATGTAAAACCCTGCAGCTACTAGTGTTGTGAATTCATTATTGAAGTAAACAAAACCCATCTTTCAAAAAATTGTCACCTTTCTTACATTTTGTCCCTCCCTAGGATACACTAAGTTTGAAGCTAAGAGCTTGAAATAAGTCAAATGGATAATTCAAAGTTAAGTATATTTCACTAAATTCTTTCCTTTGACATTCAATATTTTCTGACTCCACTTGACTTCTTCACACTGTTATGTTTAATGCAGACAATGCTGATAAAGCAGAATCCCTGTTATACTAATAATTCACTATTGGACTTATCCTGTGGCTTAACCTAATCTTTACAATTTCACACATTGAAAAATTGACAGTTTGAGTTATTTAGAACCGTTTTTGCATATTCAATTAGCACACCAAGTGCATGTGGTAAACACTATAATTAGTTTTAAATACAGTTGAGGAAGCTTAGAAGTTGAAGTAGCTTTTTGTTAAGATGTAGAAGTGAACATTTGGATTAAGAATCCGGCTTTGTCTTCTATGTTCTAATAACCAGAGTCGAAGTCTCTTTCTTTTTGAACAAGAGAAGCCAAGGGAATTCCAGGTCCATACTCTAGCCTGGTTGACAGATTCAGTAAAACACAAAAATTTTCTCACTAAGAAAATGATGCTAAGAGAAGAAAGATTGCAAATTTCAAAGTATTTCTCAAAACTCTGGTGTCCAAAATGTGGAAATTGTCCAACACTTACAATTGTGGGGTTCAGAAAAGGAGAAACTAATTTTCAACCAAGAGACCAGAGGAAAAGAATGTGTAAGTCTTTATCACTGGAATTATAAAAAAAAAACCAGTTGTGTATAATGTCAACCAGGTTTTGGTAGCCTTATACCAGTCAGAAACATCACATAGGAGGAGATAGTTTGGCTAACATTAAAAGACAAATGGGAGTCATTAAAGAAGAGATTGAGACATTCCAGGCAGATGAAACAGTGTGCTGAAAGGCTAGCATTGCGAATGAGTTCTCAGCCTGATGCACATCTTCTGTGGACTTCTGACTTATAGGTTTCTGTCACCTCATGAATATTGTCTCTTTAGATCTATGAATATCTTTAAGTATCAACACATGTTCCATGATATACAATATCTGTATCAAGATTCACTGCTTTTAATTTATTATTATTATTAATTTTCTTTCAAAAGACCATATGGTGCTGCAAAGATGGCTCAGTTGGTAAAGGTGATTGTCGAGTCTGATGACCTGAAGTTAATCCTCTGGACCCATATGGTAGACAGAGAGCACTAGGTCCTGCAAGTTCTCCTGTGATCCCCTCACATGCATTGTGGTATAGGCATGCCACAATAGATAAATAAGTAAGGAAAGAAAGAAAGAAAGAAAGAAAGAAAGAAAGAAAGAAAGAAAGGAAGAAAGAAAGAAAGGAAAGAAAGAAGGAAGAAAGAAATAATTTAAATCCATAAAATAATATCTCTGTTCTTTTAAGTTCATTCTCAAGATTTATAAATTGTATTTCTATTCTTTAAATAATAAGTACTAACTGTCCCTTACAATTGCATCTTATACCACTCACATAGAGATTATTAGGGAGCTCTGAACAGACTGAACTCTGATCGAAGATTATTTTTGAAGATTGATACTTTCTCACTTTAAAAATATGAATGAGGCCCCAAGTGTGTTAAATTACTGCAGATATTACTATGGATATGACCCACATTATGATGAGGACAGATATATGTAGCTATGAAGCTGGGCAAGAAATAAAGACTAGATTTCCCTTTCCATCTGCACTTCCACCTGTACCCTTCACAGATCAGCATGCCAGCACCCTCTCTAACCCAGCAGCCTGCCTGTCTCCCAGTAAGTCTGCCGTAGCTAGAGATATAGGTAGGACTTCCATCCCCATACCTGTGCCAGCTGGAAATCACAGAGAGCCCAATAGATATGGGATCAATTCTGTTCTACCTGAGCCCTAACCCCCTTCCAGTCTGCATCTACCTGGACACTGGGCAGATCAAAGTACCTGCTCCTGGACACCAAAGTCTGCCGGTCTCCCAGGAGGTTTGCAGTAACTAGGTACACAGGAGGACTGCTCTAACCAGGGACACACACAGGAAGCCTGCTCTAACCAGGGACACAGGAGATCTGACCTAACCAGAGTTAGCACTGCCTGCATCCCAGGAGGCCTGCTCTAATCCAAGACAGCCAGGCCAGTTAATGCCAGAGATAACCAGATGGTGAAAGGCAAGCACAGGAATTTAAGCAACAGAAGTCAACATAATTTGGCACCAACAGAACCCAGTTCTCTAACCACAGCAAGTCTTTACTCTAAAATACCTGAAAAGCAAGATTTTGACTTAAAATCCCATCTCATGAAGATGATAGAGGCCTTTAAAGAAATATAGGAAAACACAGGTGAACAGGTAGAAGCCCTTAAAGAAGAAACAAATAGGTTAAAGAAATAAAGGAAAATACAATCAAACAGGTGAAGGAATTGAATAAAATGGTCCAAGGCCTAAAAATGAAAATAGAAACAGGTGAAGGAATTGAATAAAATGGTTCAAGGCCTAAAAATGAAAATAGAAACAATAAGGAAATCACAAACAGAGGCACCCCTGGGGACAGAAAACCCAGGAAAGAGATCAGGAGTTACAGGTGGAAGCATCACCAACAGAATACAAGAGATGGAAGAGAGAATCTCAAGCATGGAAGATGTCATAGAAGATATTGACACATCAGTCAATGAAAATACAAGTGTAAAATGTTCCTAACCCAAAACATCAGGAAACTTGGGACACAATGAAAAGACTAACCCTAAGAATAATAGGAATAGAAGAGGGGGAAGATTCCCAGTTCAAAGGGCCAGAAAACATTTTCAACAAAATCATAGAGGAAAATTTCCCTAACCTGAAGAAAGAGATGGACATAAACATACAAGAAGCCTACAAAAGACCAAATAAATTGGATCAGCAGAGAAAATTCTCCTGCCATATAATAATCAAACCACTAAATATATGGAACAAAGAAAGCCTATTAAAAATGGTAAGGGAAAGAGGCCAAGAAATAAATAAGGGTATACATATTAAAATTACGCCAGACTTCTCAACAATGATGCAAAAAGCCAGAAGATCCTGGAGATATGTCATGCAGACACTCAGAGACCACAGATGCCAACCCAGGCTACTAAACTCAGTAAAACTCTCTATCACCATAGATAGAGAAACCAAGATATTCATAACAAAACCAAATTTAAACAATATCTTGGAATACTCCAACACAAGAAGAGTAACTATACCCAATTAATCATCTCACAACCAACCCAAAAGAAGAGTCTCTCTGTCTCTCTGTCTCTCTCTGTCTCTCTGTCTCTCTCTGTCTCTCTCTGTCTCTCTGTCTCTCTCTGTCTCTCTGTCTCTCTGTCTCTCTCTCTCTCTCTCTCTCTCTCACACACACACACACACACACACACACACACACACACAATCCTACCTAAAACAACAAAATAATAACAATCATTAGTTTTTAATATCTCTCAACATCAATGAACTCAATTTCCTAATAAAATGATACAGGCAAACAGACTGAGTATTTAAACACGATCCATCATTTTGTTGCAAATAAGAAACACACATAAGCAAGAAAGATAAACGCCACCTCAGAGCAAATGGCTGAAAAACAGTTTTCCAAGCAAATGGTCCAAAGAAATAAGCTGGAGTAGCCATCCTAATATTCAATAAAATAGACTTTCAACCAAAACTAATCAAAAGTGATGAGGACACCTCATACTCATCAAAGGAAAAAAATCCAACAGGATGAAGTCACAATTTTGAACATCTATGCCCCAAATACAAAGACATCCTCATTACCAAAATAAACTTTACTAACGCTCAAAACACACATTGAACCTCATATGATGATAGTGGGAGACTTTAACAACCCACTCTCACCAATGGACAGGCCATTGAAACAGAAACCAAGCAGAGTCACAGTAAAACTAGCAAAAGTTTTGAACCAAATAAAGTTAACAGATATCTACAGAATATTTCACCCCAAAACAAGAGAATAGAGCTTCTTCTCAGCACCCCATGGAACCTTCTTCAAAATTGACCATATAATCAGACACAAAAAAAAAAAATCCTCAACAGATACAAGAAGATGGCAATAACAACAAAAACAACAGAAAGTGGATATACTCATGGAAACTGAACAACTCTCTATTTAGTGATAACTTGGTAGGGAAGAAATAACAAAGAAATTAAAGACTAGAATTCAAGGAAAATAATGACAAAGATTACCCAAACTTATGGGACACAATGAAAGGAATGCTAAGAGGAAAATTCATAACACTAAGTGCCTTCATAAAGAAATTGGAGAGATCCTATACTAGCAACCTAACAACATGCCTGAAAGCTTTACAACAAAGAGAAACAAACAAACCCAAGAGTAGTAGACAAATAGCAGGAAATAGCAAAACACAGGACTGAAATCAACAAATTACAAACAAAGAGAACAAAACAAAGAATCAACAAAGCCAAGTGCTGGTTCTTTGAGAAAATCAACAACATAGATAAACCCTTAGAAAATTTAACTAAAGAGCACAGAGACAGTATTGAAATTAAGAAAATGAGAAACAAAAAGAGAGAGACAGCAACAGAAACTGAAGTGATTAAAAAAAATCATCAGATCTTACTACAAAAGCCTATACTTGACAAAACTGGAAAATCAAAATGAAATGAATAATTTTTCTAGACAGATATCACAG